ATTAAAATAACTTGATATTTTTCTCAATCCCCAAATTTTAAAATGAATTTGATTTAATTCGTGTCACTAAATGGGATAAAATTTTCATTTTAAAATTATAGAAAGTAACTTTCTTATACGTTAAGATGGTCACTTTACAACAATACTAAAATGATCGAATATTACCCTTAGTCAATTTATTTCGATTCGAGTTAAGTGCTTATGAGGGTATCATGAAAAATTAATTAGGACTAAAATGAAATAATATGCAAACAACGTGCAAAAATAAAAATAAAAATAAGACTAAAACATAAACATTCAAACCATCTTGACAAAATTAAAACAAAATAAAGTATACAAGTTACTAAAATGAGCATTTTCAATATTAAGTGTTGAAATTACAAAGAATAAAAATAAATAAAACATGTGGACTAAATTAAAATTACATGGTTGAATTAAAATAAATAAAAAGACAAATTCTAGTTCAAAATACAAGCATGCATAGACTACATGGGCTATTTCATAAATATTCCATTTTTCCTAGCCTACAATATACATTTAAAATAAAAAATAGGAAATTACAAAATCAATCCCTAAGTATTTTTTAAAAATAAAACAGTCACTACACATGGCTAAACTGTAAAACCACACTAAATATACAGGGATTAAACGATAATTAAACAAAATATATATATAACATGCGTAAAAGGGGTAAATTACAAAGGTACTCCCTACAGGACTAACATGAAAAATGTGCTAAAAGTCGGGGGACTAAACAAAAATTAAACCAAAAATTTCAAAGCATAAGAATAAATGGGCAAATTATAAAAATGGTCCTTGTCAGTGGTTACTTTGCAAAAATGTGGTTACGATCGGGGGACCTAAATGTAATTTCCCCTAATATTTTCTCTATGGATAACATTTTTTTCCCTTTTTTTTCATTTCAAACTGATTCTTAAAAAAGTTCTTTTTTCTTCTAATTTCTTCTGTCGGCTCATTGTCAGTCGCCCGAAACCTCTTTTAGCCATCGTCCAGCCACCGCACACGGTGTCTGAACTTCTCAAATTTTCCCAAAATGACTTTAAAGCCTAGATCTACAACGCTAGACAGCTACCTTAGGCTAAAACTACCCTAAACACCCCAAAACGAGCCCCCAACCTTTTTGTTTTTTGGGTTTCTTTGCAAGCTTATGTGAAGACAGACTGACCCCGGTTTGACTTCCCCTAACTAAGGTATCACTCGACCTCCTCCTCTCTTTTTTTCCTTACATGCATGGTGTTTATTTATTTTTTCTATATTTTTTATTTCGAACACACAAAAATGAAATAAAAAAGAATACCTTTCAAAATGTTCCAAGTTTTTTTTGCCTTTCTTTCTATTGCTTTTGAAAGCGAGGGGTGAGAACCTTTTTTTTAAAGATTTGCTCGGGGCTTTATGATCCCCAATTTACATATTTTTCTCTGATTTTTCTCTATGAAATGATTACAAAAGATGAGATTTTTGTATGTGGTGTTGTATTTGTGGTTGCTTGTTGAGATATTATTGGTTTTCTAACATTGCAGATCTCGGTTGGTGGCAGCCAATTGGTGGAGATGGGTGGCGGTAGAGGCTCGATCTGGATCATTGGATGGGTCCGGATCCGATGGCTGAGAGAGTGCGATTGAGATGGGTTAGGGTAAAACCCTAACTGTTGGTCAATCTGGATCATTGGATTGGTCCAGATCTAATGGCTGAGGGTGAGTGATGGTTGAGATATTAAGGATGAAACCCTAATTCGATGGGTCTTCACAGGTGGGTTGGGTTGTTGGGCTCTGGGTTTTGGGTATGTTGGTCTTGGGTTTGTAACTTAGGGCCCCAATTGGGTTGTAATTTGGCCTGAAAAAATAAAAAAAAATTTAATTAATAATAATAATAATAATAATAAATATAATTGTGGCATGATGAAATCAGGTGTCGACAACTGTCCCTCTTTATCCATTCTTGTGTCAACAAGAATAGGACAGAGACGAAGAGATAACGAGTTTTCATCTGGTCAACTTCAGGATTTGAAATATGATGAGGGATCTGCTCCACTATTCTTTCACGGTAGATTAGATCGATAAACGTTGATTCATTCCTCTATTCTTTAGGGAAGATTAAATCGAGGTAGACTTGTTCCACTGATACTCAGGGAATATCAAATCTTGAAAGAGAGAGATATGTTCCACTTTTTCTAGAGGGAAAATCAGATCTGGGGTCATTGATTCATTCCACTGTCACTCAGGGAAGATTGAATCGAGGTAGACTTGTTCCACTGTTACTCATGGAATATCAAATATGAAAGTGAGGGATATGTTCGACTTTTTCCTGAGGGAAAATCAGATTGGGGACGTTGATTCACTCCACTGTTGCTCAGGGATGATTGAATCAGGTTCAATTTTCTTCTTTTTTCTTCAAGAATATCAAATCTGAGAATTAAACATTAACCCTTGTTAGTACGTGTTTGTGGATTTGAAAACATCATACATTAAAGTCTTGGGAGGATAATCTTTGGAAAAGGATTTCTCCTGTGGGAGTTTGCCTTGCCACCACCATATATGGAAATATGAATTGGTTACTTTTATGTTGGGTCCTTACACCTCCATCCTATCTTTTGGAGAACTTGTAAGTACTAATTGCATTTATTATTATCATGCATTTTATGTCATGATCCTATTTATGCCTAAAATGTGTGCAATGGTGCAGCTATTTTTTAGGGTATTTTCTTTTCAAACGATAACTCTTTTCTTGTTGAAAACATTGTAATTCAGTTGAATTCAGGGTGTGAAAAATCAACAGCAGTTCACCCTGACTGAAAACTCTAGTCGGACACTCTTTGGTTGAAAATGACTTTGATTCTCTTTACTCTTAAACCTAGGCGCTTCTCATGACCAGCTACTTGATCGGTAAGAAAACCTCTTGGATTATCCCACCTTGCTGAGCCTTTAAGTGTATCCCATGGTTTTAACCTCCTATAGCCTAACATCACGTAAGCCTCATTCTAAATCCATTTTCAGCTTCGGAATACCTGGACTTTTCCAAAACTTTTTGTATAATAATGCATGATGATCTCATGTTTCCCGAGTTAATCTACATGTTTTTATTTTCAATTAGGATTCTTTCTACGTGGTTTTAACAAGAAAAAATACATCGTTTATTTATAAATAAAGAGTTTTTGGGTGAATACATGACAAACTTTTACTGAAATAATAAAAAAGAAAACATAGTAGGCGTCCTCATATATCAATAGTACGAAAGTTTTTGAACTGGCACAACGCAAAATGATTCGAGTGAAAAGGTATCATGAGGATTGTGACGATCCGCAAGGGTGTGAAGTTCCCCTGTACTACCAAATTCCCGAATGTTGGATGCCATAAACCAATATTTGAATCTCATTTACTTTATGGTTATCCAAGCCTTTTTGATTCTCGATCCTAACCCAGACTACCATTTCAAGTATTCAAAACTAATTCAGAGCCTCTACCATGCACAAATTTTGAATTTACACAATTCTTAAGTCGTCTTTTACGGGTTTTCAACTTGAGATTTCCTTTGGTTTCAAGAGACCCTTTGCAGGTTTTAATCTTAAACCCTCATTTTTGTTTATTCTCTTTTTCTTTCTTTTTCCATTCATTCATTTTTTTCATTTTTCTTTTATTTTTTCATTATTTCTTTCTTTTTTCATTATTTATTTTCTTTTCTTTTTCTTTTTCCGTTTCTTTCCCTTTTTTCATTTCTTTTTCTTCTTCTTTTCATTCATTTTTTCTTCTTTTTCATTCTTCAGGCAAAGCACTTCTTGACTGCGTTAGTATTCATAGGGTTAGGTAACTCTGGTACATCCATCTTGGTGAGGATCAAATCTTCTCCAGAAAAGGCATTCTTAACAATATAAGGTTCCTCCCAATTTGGCATCCATTTATCTTGAAAGTCTTTATGAATTGGAAAAATCTTTCTCAGCATTAGATCTCATTCCTAAAATTATTGTGGGTGAACCTTTTTGTTATGTGCCCTCGACATATGTTTATGGTACATTTTCCCATGATAAATAACTTTTAATCTTTTCTCCTCGATCAGATTCAGCTGGTTATACCTTGCTTGTACCCATCCTGCTTCATCTACCTTAACATCTGACAACACCCGAAGTGACAGAATTTCAACCTCGATAGGTAACACAACTTTCATCTCATAGGCTAAAGAAAGCGAAGTTGCCCCAGTTGACGTCCTTACTGAAGTTCGATAGGCAAACAGAGCAAATGGTAGCTTCTCATGCCAGTCTTTATAAGTATCAATTATTTTCTCTATGAGCCATTTGATGTTCTTATTGGTTGCCTCTACTGCCCCATTCATCTTTGGGTGATAAGTGGTGGAATTATGATACATTATTTAGATTTGTTTACATACCAATTTCATCATCTTATTGTTTAAATTCAAGGCATTGTCGTTGATAATCCGTTCTGGTAGCCCATATCGACAAAAAATCTCTTTTTTCAATAACTTACAAACCGTTGACTGAGTGACATTTGCATAGGAAGTCGCTTCTACCCACTTAGTGAAGTAGTCTACTACCACCAATATAAAATGATTGCCATTAGAAGCTTTGGGTGAAATTTTCCCAATGACATCCATGCCCCACATAGAGAATGGCTACTGAGTAGTCATTACGTGAAATGGATGAGGAGGGGTATGGAGCTTGTCTCCATAAATCTGGCACTTGTGACATTTTCTGGCGTAATTGATACAATCGATTTCCAGGGTCAACCAGTAATACCTAAATCTCATTATTTATCTTGCCATTGCATGTCCATTAGCATGGGTACCACATACTCCCTCATGCACTTCTTTGATGATCATTTTAACTTCTTTGATATCGACATATGTCAACAAAACCTAATCATGACTTTTCTTGTACAAGAATCTCACCATCAAGTACATATCCTGCAACCATTCTTCAAATCATTTTTTTCATTCTCAGTTGCCTACTCAAGGTAGCTTTGATATCTGATTTATTGCAGGATATCATAATACCATGGATTCTCATCCTCATCCTCTGCTATGCTATAACAGTGGGCTGGATACTCATAAGCTTGCATCTCAATAGGCATCATACTTGAAGGTTTATTGAATTTGAAGGTTACTGCCAAAGTGGCTAGAGCATCTGCCATTTGATTCTCTTCTCTAAGGATGTAATGGAATATCACATCCTCAAACTCTTTGATGAGCTCTAGGACCAACTTACGGTATTCCATCAACTTGGTATCTTTTGATTCCCATTTACCTCTAAGTTGATAAATTACCAAAGTTGAATCCCCATATACTTTGAATATCTTTACTCTACACTCAATGGCAGCTCTGAGACCCATAATACATGTTTTATACTCATCCATGTTCTCTGTGCAATCTAAATTCAATCGGCTTGTGAAAGGATAGTGTTCTTCACTATGTGAGACCAAAATTACCCCAATCTCGTACCCCAAGGCATTCGAGGCACCATTAAAATTCATCTTCCAATATTCACTAGTAGATGGAACTGTCTCTTCAGCTAAAATAGCCATCAAATCTTCGTCTGGAAAATCAAAGTTCAGCTGTTCATACTCCTCAGAAGCCCTGCTTGTAATGAAATCAGCTACAACACTTCCTTTAATTTCTTTTTGGCTTATATATTGGATGTCAAATTCAGACAATAAAATCTACCAACGAGCCAATCTTCCAGATAAAGCAGGTACAACCATTAGGTGTTTTATAGGATCAAGTCTAGAGATCAGCCAAGTAGTGTGATACAACATATACTGCCTGAGCCTTCGAGTAGTCTAAACTAAAGTACAACACAACTTTTCTTTTGGTAAGTACCTTGCCTCGTAATCAGCGAACTTTTTTTACTGAGGTAGTAGATTGCTATCTCTTTTTTCTCAGTTTGGTCATGCTACCCTAATACACACCCCAATGAATTCTCAAAGAATGACAAGTAAAGAATTAATGGTTTGCCTGAGATTGGTGGCATTAAGACTGAAGTGTTCAACAAATACCCCTTTACTGCTTCAAAAGCTCTTTGGCAATCATCATTCCACACCTCTGGGTTATTTTTACTGATAAGGCGAAAAATGGGATCACACTTCTCAGTTAATTATAAAATGAATCGGGCGATGTAGTTTAATCTCCCCAGGAATCCTCGAACTTCTTTTTGTGTTTGTGGGAGTGGTAAATCCTGAATAGCTTTGACTTTGTCTAGATCTACTTCAATCTTTTTTTTTGTACTACAAACCCCAAGAGTTTCCTAAATGTTACCCCGGAGATACACTTGCTTGGATTGAGTTTTAGCTGACATTTCCTTAATCTTTGAAAGTGTTCCCTTAGATTCTTGATATGTTCCTCCTCTGTTTTGGCCTTAACAATCATATCGTCAAAATAGACCTCTATTTCTTTATGCATCATGTCGTGGATCAGTGTTACTTTGGCTCTTTGGTAGGTTGGCCCTGCATTGTTTAGTCCAAACGGCATCACCTTGTAGTAAAACGTGTCCCACATGGTGACAAACATAATCTTTTCCATATCTTTCAGATGCATATTTATTTTATTATAACCAAAAAACTCATCCATGAATGAAAATAGGGAGTTTCCAGCAGTATTATCCACTAGGGTGTCTATGTGTGGTAGAGGGAAATTATCTTTCAGGCTGGTCCGATTAAGATCTTTGTAGTCGACGCACATGTGAACTTTCCTGTCTTTCTTGAGTACTGGAACAATGTCTGCTACCCATTGTGGATACTTGGCTACTTTTATGAACTCAACATCGAATTGCTTCTTTACTTCTTCCTTAATCTTCAACAGCATTTCGGGTTGCATCATTCTAAGCTTTTGTTGTACCAGTTTACATTATAGATTTATTGGAAGTTTATGTACCAATAAGTCAATATCTAAACCTGGCATGTCCACATATGACAATGCAAACACACCTTTGTACACTTGTAGCAGCTCAATCAGACTTTGTCGTCCCTTATTAGATAGGGTGGTACCAATTTTTATCACTTTCTTATTTTCCTCTGATCCAATATTCAAGATTTCAATGAGCTCTTCATGAGGAAGAATTTTTTTATCTCCTCTCTCCACTATTTTAAGCAGTTCAGAAGGTAAGTCACATTCATCATCATTATCATAACCCTCAACTTCCCCTTGATATATGGACAGCTCGAAATCTATCTATGGGTCAGAGTCATCAGTATTCATACTATTGATACTGGAGGTCCTAAAAGAATAATGAACGAGAGGATATATATACATATACAAATACATGATAATCTATGCCATATCAAAAATATAATGAAATAATAATATATAATAAATAAATAATGAAAAAATATGCACAGGAGAATGTTTGCCACTTTGTGAGTTAACAAAAACGCATCTTTCCTTAAATATAACAAAAACAAATAGATTAACCCTTTACAAAAGATCACCTATTGCCCTGGGGGTTTAGACGATAGGGAATGTTTTTATGCATTACTCTGAAAAAGTGTTGTAAACTACATGTAATTCTTCTACAGTCTAATTATTTAGCACAATGCCTGATGGTGCTGGATAGATGCCCATGGCTCTTTATTCTTCAATTTTATCCTCTAATATCATATTTATGCCCAAATCCCTCAAGGCATTCTCAACAACTAGCTCTTTAGATGACTGCCCCCAGAAACATATGGCCCCCGGATATGTAAGTTCACGCAACGGTGGGAAAATCATAGGCTCCCACGTAACATCGTCCCCGGCTGACTCTTCTGAATATCTTTCCGCTTCTCCTTCAAGGTCGGGCGATATCCCAGGCAAAAACAGGCTCTCTTGATGACGGGAAAAATTGGACCGACGGATCCCTATAGGCAGCTACCTAACTCTCTTCCATCCTTGGTTCCCCTTCATAAAGCCATTTTCACTCCCATTCTGGTACAATTGGACAACCTGGGCTTTGAAATTTTCTTTCCTTTAGCCACGAAGGTGGTATTAATGAATTCTAGGAACCTGAAGGAGCACTCGATCGCTTCTTCCTCAACTTTGATATATGGAGTGGTAGTAGATATGAAAACAATGATGTCTTCCTTGACATTAAGGCACACCAATCTCCCCTCAATTACAAACTTAAGCTTCTGATGAAGAGCGGATTGCACAGCTCTTGCCTAGTGGATCCAAGGCCTTCCCAATAGGAAATTATAGGTTGGCATGATGTCCATCCAAGGAACTCAACTTCGTAAGTTGACGGGCCTATGGTCAAAGGGATTTCAATCTTCCCCAACACCTTTCTCTTTGTTCCTTTGAAAGCTCGAACGATGCTTTGTCAATTTCTCATGTGCGTACTGTCGATTGAAAATTTCTTCAGGGTCATTAACGACGTCACATTCAAGGTAGAGGCATTTTCAATTAGCACTCATGATAACATATGCCCCTTGCACCGATGGTAATGTGCAGGGCTTTGGGATTGCCCATCATCCTAGACGGGATCTAGTCATCGGAGAAAGAGATGAAATTATCAGCTTGGATATTTGCAACCATTTGGTCTATCTTTTCCACTGGCTCATCCTTTGGTACGAAATTTTGATTCAAAACTTTTAACAAGGTATTTCGATGTGCTTCAGAGCTTAATAGAAGAGTCAGGATCGAGATATGAGCCGATAACTTGTGTAGCTGTTCGACGATGATGTACTCACTATGCTTCAAAAATTTTATAAACTCCACAGCCTCGTTCTCCATTACAGGCTCATTAATGACCGACTCATCATCCTTCAGTAGTATCTTCACCCTTTTCCCTTTATCAGCAACAGTTCTTTTCTCAAGTTCACTGGTCTGATTGGGAGAATAACATCTCCCACCTCTGGTGAAATGGTCTACCTCATCCACTTCTCCCTTGGCAACCTCTAAAATACCCAAGTTATCCAATTGACACTCATATCTTCATTGGACCTATTTATTGCCCTTATAAGGGAAAGAATACGAAGGTGTGATTGTAACACCCCAACCTTTATCCAACCCGAATACGAATCTGAGGTGCCACATTTACTGTTCAAATCATTTACCTTTAACAAATAGTTGAAATTTAAATTTACTTTTCGATAATAAAACATTTTAATACAAAATAAAGTGTACCAACTTCAACTCAACTAGAAATATATAATTCATCATTTACATAAATACAATAAATGTACATTTACTAAAAAAACTGATCAGAGCATTCCCATTTAAATACAGTGATACATGCCAACAAAAAGTACAGAACTTATAAAAACCTACTGTTTTAAATCGTTCTGATATGATCTTCTTAGCTTATGCTGCCCTCTCTTAATCTTCACTCTTCTGATCTCTATGAACCTACGTGTGGAACATTCACATGCTAAGTCATTGACTTAGTGAGACAATAAGGCATATAAAATAAAACATTTCAAAAACCTTTTTCATTGATTCATATAAACCTTATCATACTTGAAGTAAAATACAATTTCTAATAACTTACATCAAATCATTCATTAATAAGCTTACACCATTTTTATTCTTTTGGCCCAATGTATAACACTGAGAATTCATGATATTTGAGTACACTGAGGTTGTGCACAAATGTTGTCACCATAGCTCATATAGTTTCCGCTGAAGTGCCACGTAGAATTTGTCACGAAGGACCGCGAAGAAGTTTATCCCGAAGGACCATATAGATTGTCCCGAAGGACCACATAAATTGTCTCGAATGACCGCGTAGAACCCTCGACTCTTGGATCGACTCACTTTTTCCCCACTAAAGTCCTAAACAGAGTCCTTAACACATTTGATCAAACATATAATGTCGAGCTGACCGATAGTTGATTTTATTCAACGTCTACACAAAACAATCAAAAATAAATATTGGAATTCAAATCACTTATATCCAATCATAATAACTTATGCTGAAAGAAACCCTTAATTTCTCATTTCATGCTTAGTAGTATTGGTACTCCCACTATAGTACTGATACTTCCCTTCTAGGGTATCGATACCTTCCTTTGGTACCAATACCATTTTAACATACTGGAATCTCAGCTTAAAAATGATATCGATACCTTGCTCCTGGTATCAATACTCCCCTTTCAGTATCGGTACCCCCTTCAATTAGTATCGATACTGATCCTCAATTTATACTTGATTTAGCCTTAAAGTATCAATATTGTTCTTACAGTACTGATACCCTTGCCTAGATTTCATCTCGTCCATTACAATTTTTAGCCTATAATCATATATTTTCCTTTCTCTTCGCTCTAATAAACTTCTCAAACCCATTAATACTCATACTAGACAACTTATATCCACTACTCCCCTTATAACATCTAATTTCCCAATAGAATTCATACAACTAGAATTCATGTCATTTTATCAAACATGTTCTAATTCATTCCAAACACTTCAAATCTCTTAACTAGGACTTTGACAAGTTAATTCTACCTTTAGAATCTATTTATCAACCAATTTACAAACTTCCACTATAAAACCCATCTTATTCATTTCCTAATATCTCCTTAGTAACTTAATTTTTCTTCATTTTCAAGCTTCCTTAATCTTATCTACCACCTAAAGATTTAATACAACCCATAAAATTAAGAAATCATTAGCTTGAAATAACTCACCTTAATCCAAGAAGTCACGAACCAAGAATAAGAAGAAGAAGAAGAAGAAGAAGAAGTAAAAATGGGGTAAGTATCTAGATAATTCTTTTCTCTCCCTTATCCTCTTAAAATATCCTAATATAATATGGATATAAAATCCATATACTGAAAAAGACCATCTTGTCATTCATCTCTTCCTTCTTTGCAAATAAGTCCTAACACAAAATTTCCAAACATTACTCCTTAAACTTATCACTTATTCCAATTAAACTACTAAATTTTAAAGCTCTTACATTTTGATCATTGACCCTATATTTGGGATATTACAGTGATCACCACTTCAGGGGTTACCCTCTCTGCCCCACGGGTTTTTGGTGTGATGGCCAGAGGACATTTGGCATTGTAGACTTTCTGAGATGAACCCTCGGACACGCAAATCTCTGTTTTTTCCTCTTCAGGAGTTTCTTGATAAAATTCCATTTCATTTCTATCCATCATCCTTTGCACCAAGGTTCGGAACTCAGCACAATCCTATATGGTATGACCCTCTGCGCCCATACCCAATGCATGGGTGACTTCAGTTCATTCACTTTGGTTATAACCTTTTTCCTCTCTCCTCGATAATTGCATTGACACCTGCCCCTTCATGGTTCAACAGTGGGTTCTGAGCTACATTGGGTTGCTCGCTGTCACCAGAGTTGATGACATTCCTCTACTTTAATCTATGTACAATCTTTTTAAAGGTAATACAATTTTCAATTGAATACCCTGAAGCCCCCACGTGATATTCACATTGGGCATTGATATCAAAACACTTTGGGTAGGGAGGCTGGATCGGTGAAGTGTGGTAAGGCAAAACCACATGCTTGTCATGAAATATCTAAAATAGTTCTTTATAGGTCATGGGGATCGAATCAAATTGAAGTCTATCCCTTTCCTACCTTGGTTCTCTCGCCCTTTGTTTGGTAGGATTTTGTGCAGACGACTCGGAGGCTTGATGCAGGGATACAATAATGTTGTTAGAGTCATAATTCCTCACATTACTGACCTCGTTATCCTTTATTTTTGCTAGTAGCTTTCTGTTAGATTCTTCTCCGTCAAGCTTCCCACTCTTGATCGTCATCTCGATCATCTCTCATGTTATGACCACATTAGTAAAATTATTGGACAAATTTCCTATGAGGTTGCCAAATAATGGGGCTTTCAGAGTGCTCACAAAGAGCATGTTAGTTTCTT